TTTTATTCTCATCTGGAATCTACCAGTGGTGAGCTGAGCAATTCTCAACTGGATTTTTATTTAGTGTGATGTTTGTACAATGAAATATTTGAAAGTGAAATATTTGTCTCCTTCATGTTTCTGAATAATGTTTTGGAAAAAATGAAAAAAAAATGCTTTGACTCTCTCAGAAGAGCTCTGATCATTTGTAAATGCAGTGAAACATACATTTGAGGTACTGACCACCATCATCACTGCCGCCACCATCCTCACACCAACAACAAAAGTCAACTAGCCAATAAGTATGTTATGAATCTTTTCCACATCAAATGATAACTTGCGTATTCAGACTTTTATGATTTAGGAAGATGAGTTTTTGCAATATCTTTTATGCCTACTTTCTACCAAAATGGGCTCATTTCTCCACGCCACCCCGCCCTTCTCTCTCTCTCTCTCTCTCTCTCTCTCTCTCTCTCTCTCTCTCTCTCTCTCTCTCTCTTTCTCTCTCTCTCTCAATATTCTTATAGTGCTATGGATTGATCTCAGGCAGCACCTCCCCACAGACTCCATAGCAGATAAAGATCTAGTCAGCTCAGGTATGATCAGAAAGCAGCCCAGGTCTTCTAACAAACACTCTATTCCTGATTCTCTATGAATAGGGGTGCCCCATGCCTCCTGAGAAGGATGTCCTCTGTCCACTGTGTCTAAGAAGCGATTTTCAAATATCTTGACTCGTGTGGGTGCAGTGGCACAAGCTTTTAATCCCAATGGCTCAAAAGGCTGAAGCAGGAGGATCACCAGTTCAAAATCAGTCTCAGCAACTCAGTGAGACCCTGTCTTTAAGTAAAATATAAAAAAAGGGCTGGGGATGTGGCTCAGTAGCTAGGGCCTTTCTGTTCAGTTGCTGGATATATATATATATATATATATATATAAATCACACACACTACATACATGTCCTAATACCTTCTAATGTATTCCCAGAATATCTGAAAAGAATTACAGATTTTAACATTCTCTTCTGTCTTCTATACAATGGAAAGAATGCCAAAGAAAATATTACTAGAAGGGAGGATGGAATCGATGGCTGTGAGAAATAGGATAATTAAGCATCTCCAAGGGCTTGAAGGATTAGGAGAAACAGCCCAGAATGCAGAAAGGATAAGTTGATTCAGACAGCCTAGGCCCCCCTCTCCTACTCTCTGAAAACAAAATTCTGGAAAGAAGACAGGAAAGTATAATATGCCATAAAACAGCACTATACCAACCAGTATATTCTATAGTTCTGGTCTTTGCTCTACTGCCAAAGATTTACTTAAATTCAGGTAAAATTATTTTATTTCATTGGCACAACATTGACCTCTATAGTGAATGGCTTATTTTCAAAAATTCCTCGAACCCAACTGGTTCCATGATTCTGAAGCTATATATTTCTGGTTTTTTTTCTTCAGAGAAGCACTGACCCATTAATAAATATTATATACTAGCTTCTGTGAAAATATCCTGTTTTATTAAATAAATCATGAAAAGCAATAGTGGAAAAGGGCCCTATAATCCCAAATTAGGCAATGTGTTCTAAAAACATTAAATATGATAGAAGTGGTAAGATAAACCTGTAGCTTTGTAATCCTTGTAAGTTTTATGTTTAAAATATTCTAGAATTGAACTCAGTAGTTTTCACTTGGTAATAACTTATGTGTAGTGAATAGCATTATTTCCTGTGAATACTGTCCAAGGAAGAAAAAGTGAAGGAGCTCATATAACAGTAATAAGTAATAGGTAAGCTGCTTTTCTAAAGCTATTGCATATTTCATTCTTTTTAAGTCTTTTTTTCTAGAAGCCCACCAATTGAGGACTATTTGGGAACATCAACATTAACTTACTAGACAATGGCATTTGCATCTTGAATTATTCTATTAGATTCTAACCTTGGCACAGTACAACCCTTTTGCTGAAATATTTATAATTGCCTAGTAACATGGGAAATAAACAATTTATTCCTATTATCTGTGTGCATGTTTTGATACAGAAACAGCAAACTGTGAATGACTGGGTACTAATAAGATCATGGAATGTCCCCAGCTTGTCATAATGGCTAGTAACAAATATTTGCATGAAGTCTTGGTTATCCAAATATTCCTTATGAAAAGTAGATGAGTGGGTTTGCTTTCTCTAACCTTGCAGAATCATTTCACTCTATTGTTTCTGTGATGGATATGGAGGGTAATGCAGTCCAAAGCCTTCAGGCAATGCACGAATTGAATATTTGCTACTTGTGTAGCATGTTGTTTCTGAAGAGTCTAATTTGGGAGTGATTTAGTAAATACAATCATCATGAATGTGGTGATGTTTTCCCTTTGGTTTTACATTGGGGATTTTGAAACAGAGTTCCCTTGCCTCTAATCATTTATAAGAAAATAGGGAAAAAAATCACCTAACAACACTTCCATTTAAAAAGGGGGGGGGATAAAAAAGTGTGTGTGTGTCTGTGTATTTTTGTGACACACACACACACACACACACACACACACACACCCTTGCTTGCAGGGAGGAAAATGATTTGAACTAAATGCATGGATCCAAATTACAGAAGAGCCAAATTTTTACATCATCTTTTATATTACCAGACAGAAAAATGTTCAATTTATTACAGAAGACTGCTAACACTAAATAACTTTGATTAAAAAGATAATCTTTGCAGGGCACACGGATATTGTTGTGGACACTGTCTGAAAACCTGAGTATAACATCAAAAGGCAAAGGCCTCATTAGAAGTCAGAACCACTTTAATTTAATGAACTAATATTTAAAAGATTCACATGGTGCATCTCTCACCATCTTTCAGTTGGAAAGGCATTCATTAAAGAAAATCTATGTTAATGTTAGTAGCATAAACAGAATTTCAAATAAGGAAGAACACAATGAACATCCTGAAATGCCCTATGGTATTCTTAAAGGATTCACTGCTTGGCTCATCCCTGTGGCAGCCTGCCACCCCCATTCCAGCCCCCCTTGTCCCTCATCAACAGTGCTACTGTGTTGATAGGGGCTTGAGACAAGCTCACTTATGGCTACCATCACTACTGATAAGGGACGCTGGCAACCTCAGAAAAGTTTTGAATCAGCTGTAGTTTGGTAGTCTCAAAGCTTGACCTATTTCAGCCTTGATTTCATCTTTATTCCCTTGGGAGGAAAATGTATCTTTGCATAATAGGGAAAACATAAATAAAAAAACTTAAATGAGTTCAAAATCTCTTCACATAATGCTCAGAATTGGATCAGCTAAATGCAAGTAGATCAAGAGAAAGCAATTCTATCTTTCTTTCCAGTTGTCCATGAGGCAGAGAGATATGTTCTAAGACACACTGCTCTGTATAATTCTTCACACTCTGTTGATAGATACCTTGGCTGTCCTTAACAAAACGCCTCACACTTCTGGATCCTGGTTTCTTCCTATATAAAATATAGGGTTAAATAAATCATTACAATCATTACTGAATTCCTTCTTGCTCCAAAAGGAAAATATCAATCAATCAATCAATTGTATTTTGTAACTTTGATATTTGATGTATAGAAAATCTGAAGCAAGGGGAGTTTTGCCTAAAAATTTCTGAGGCCTAGATATTGTAGCAGTGACTCAAGACATTTTTCTGGAAGTTAGCTTTTAAGTCTTTGGGGTAGGAGATGAACCACTTAGTAGGTTATGAATTTCACTGCAGTTTTATAAAGGTTACCACAAATGAAATCTGTAGGCTTTTCCATTTAAGTAAAATAAAGCAAAAGGGAATTAAAAATAAATATATGGAATAGTTTAATATTTATCTTTCAAAATATCCAAACCTACACATAGAAAATTGGTCCAGATCAATATATAGAAGGATTTGATGACTCCCTAATTAGATAGTACCCTACCTAATTCATGGGCCTGTGACTAATTTAAGTATATCAGTAGGTAAAATGCTTATTTCATATGTCACTTTATAAATAAAATTATATATTGATTAAACCAATATTTCTACGTTGTATTTTCATCTTTTTAAACTTTCTCCCACAATTTTTGGTTAATAAAAGTTAATTTTTCATAATAAGATCTAAAATTTTAACAACCCATTTTTCTAGAATTTTGGGTAGAGAAGTAAATAAACTATTACATTTTAGAATGATTCTACTTATCAATTTAATTTAACTATGCCATTTAATCTGGTTTTATTTGAAGTGGGTTTTAACCCCTTAGTGAACATTCATAGGAAGAAAGAGATCAAGTTGGGTTAACGTCATTATAATTGAAATTTTGTAATAATATGATCTGTAGTAACTGGATACATGAAAATAAAAATTTTGTGAAAACATTTTAGATGTACACACAAGAAATTAAATACTCAGAGTATTGTCAAGTTCTAATAATCATCTTCAACCAATGAGTGGGCATTGACACCAAATATTTCTAAAAGAAACTTTTTTAGAAATATTCTCATACGCTGTGATGATTTTCAAACTACCGACTACCATCCAAGGTTGTAAACCTTTTCCACTGAGGATTATTTTGGTTTTAGAAACAATGCAGATTCATTCAAAATGAAGTCTAATGGTAAATTGAGTAATCCAAACTGGACAATGTCATTTTGGGGGGTCTAAACTAGTGATGCTGAGGTAGCAAGACTGACTTTTTTGTGTGACTAATGGAAGAAATAAACAAATAAAGTACTCTTTAGGCAGAACCCGATGAGTTGGAACCAAGTGTGAAAGCCCTCTATTTAACAAAAGGAAAAACCTGGAGGAAAATAGCCTGTTGACTGGGCCTAAGCCTAAGTTCTGTTGCTCTAGTTTCTAACTGTGCTGCCCATCTTTTATTTTTTTTCCTGTCTTTCAAGATATAAATGTAATGGAAAGCAACAAAGCATTTCCATAAAGTAATTTAAAAGTATTTAAAATCAGCAAATGAGTGTGGGTATGTTTCAAAGAGGATTGTCCTTCAAATAAACCATCTTAGAGCCCATGTATAGAGTTTACTAATAGACTGTGTGCTTAAAATTTGTTTGGAACTTTCTTTCTGAATCTGTTCATGAATCATACAAGTTAATCAGTCACATGATGATGTCACCAATCCTCTTATATCTTTCTCCTTCTTATTATCTTTCTTGTTTTTTAACCCCAAACAAGATGGATCACTTATTTCTGCAGCAATATTGGGACTGAGTGAGAAGTAAACCTTCTCAATATCTGATAACTTAATCTAAATGAAGATTTCCCAAGGGGGGTGCCCTTCGAGAGTAGTTTTGAAGAAAAGAATGATCATGGAGATATAATGAATACAGATCCTTCTGAAGGTGATGCCTCTCAATGTGAATACTTTATTTGAAAATGTAAGTTTGGATTTGTCAGACTGACTTCATCACTTTAATAGTCTAACCTTTTATAAGTTATGGAATTCTGATTTCCCAAATCAGGAAATAATTATATGGTCCTCAAATGAAATCTGCTAATGGAATGGATTGTAGCATCTTAGAAGAAAGTGGCTAAGTTAAAAAAAAAAAAAGGATAATCAATAGAGTATTTTAATGAAATCTCACATATATATTACTTTAAAAATAATTTTTTAAATAATGAGCCTCATAAACATTTCAGAAATTTCTATCATTCTGCAAATGGTTATGTGAATGTGGGAGAAAGGGGGAAATGGAAACTTTCCTTGAAATGTTCTGAATCTATGAGATATAGAAAGTAATTAAATTATCCACAAAATAAAATTTAACTTCCTGGTACAAAACAAATTGGAAAACAATAATCTTTCTTTACACCCCCAAGGAACACACCAAACAACATCTTTGGTTTTCACTTTCCTTCAAATCTAGTCGTGCTCATTCTTCAATTTGTTGATTTGCTGGGGAAAAAATTGGACACTATTACTTTTTTCATTAACTGAAGAACGAACACTTTGGTTACCTTACAAAATAAAATAGATACTCAAGCTTAGATTTTTTTTTTCTTACATTTGGGCTCATCTTTCTATGTTTCCTATCTGGAACTAACACAACATCAAATAAAATCTAATTTTAAATGAAATAATACATGCATAATCCATAATCTTCTTAACAGATATTAGATTACCTTTTGTATATTGAAATAATCCAGCATGACAGCTAAGAGAATATATCTTAGGATATGTTCATTCTTACAGATTCATTTAAATCAATCCTGTTCCCTTTTCCAAGCATGGATATATAGTACCACATTTCTAAATATGTCTCATACAATTTGGTTTGAAAATAAACTCCAACGAGAAAGAGTACAATCAATACCACATTTAGATCTTTAACATGCATATGCCATCAGAATTTGACTCTCTAAAGTGAGGAAGCCAGGATTATTTTATAGTTGAAACATGTTAGAAATATTTGACACTTGTAATCAGGGCTTCAAAGATGTCTCTCTGTGTTATTTTAAATATTTCCTGCATCTGTGATCATTTCTTCTTATCCTTAGGCATAAAGCTTTCTCACCCATCATTCCTTCTCAATGCACACACACACACACACACACACACACACACATGCACACGCACACACGGAGAAATGTATCCCTACTCTAAATATGATGATCGATTAAGAAAAATAACTGCTTGATTCAATTAAAAATTTTAAACATAAAATCAATCATTACGTGTATTTCAGTATATCCCACTCTACCTTTAGCATCACGTTATTTCTGTCAATTAAAATAGTCAGTGAAAGAAGAAGGGGGAAAAAAAAAAAGTTTGACCATGTCAGAAACACCTGTCTAATGAAGACTAGGAATTTTGTCAGTTTTCCAATAAGATGTTCCTTAACACCTTCAGAACACTATTGATATAAATGGGAACCATTGCTTCCTGCAGGGAAATTTTTTTAATAGTGAGAAATTGGGCAAAGGAAGGAAATCTTGATGTCGTCTTCAAAATTCCAAAGCATTCTACCCTGTTTATACCTCTTTGCACATTTTCCTCATTATTTCATTTATCAGTTCTGGAGACTTTGATTCTCCTCCGACACAACATTTCAAGATGAATATACATATGTCATCTCCACACTAACATCTCTCAGTATACAAAACAACGAGGTTATCTGAAACGATTATTGAATTCATAGGCTACGTGTCCTTTTAAAATGGCATTTGCAAATGGTCACACTGCACATCTGTGGTTTGCTCCAAATAAATGCAAGATTACAGGATTACCTTTTAAACCTGCAGATTCCTCTTTCTGTAAGCTTTGGCTCCAGCAAATCTCAGCTATTCTTATTACAGCCCTTTCTCACATGCCCCCAAGTGAGGAATACTTTGCAAGCTTTTGGCAAGACATATTGGTGAAGCTGAGCTATTTATCTGATAAACATTTTTACTAAAGCTCGGCTATTTTCTTTTTTTAATCTTTTGTTCCACATAACTTACAAAATTCTGAACTATTACAGTGGGAAAGGACAAAGAAAAAGACACAGGGTGTAACTGTTATCTTCTTGGGAGTATTCATCATTGTATCTTTCAAGTAACAAATTCCCTTCCTTATTTCTGAAAAGTGATTTAGCTAATCTTTTCATGATGGACGATCATAGAATCTTTAGTTTGTTGACAAGGAGCTTGCATGATGTGGGAAAATTCTAATAATACACTTTGGAGCCACATTGCAGAATATCACATTGTGTGTAATTTATAGTATCAATATTTATAAAATACAAATTCCTAGGAGGAAAAAAAAGACTGGAAGGAAATATTCTAAAATGTTTCCAGAGGTGGCCTTTTGTTGATAAAATTGCAGATAATTTCCTTCTTATACATTTTTCCTATTTTTTCATATTATGCACAATAGATTAAAAAAGGAAATATATTAATAAAGATGTTTTGCTCTGGATAAAAAGAGCATGGAAATATTTAAGTGATTTTTTTTCTGGTATAAGGTAAGGCAAGTAGGAATTCTGGTTATAAAATTAATTTTCTTAACAAATTTAAGTAGTTATTTGAATAAAACCGAGACAATTTGATTGTGTGATTTCATCTTTTTAACTTCTAATTATAAGAGAAATTTATTAACCAAATGTTACCTAGAAATAGGTATCTTAAGGATTAGTTGAGGATAATTAAGGGTAGCTAAGGATTCTTGTTTCAAATACTATTATAATCCTGTGTGCCTTTCTTGTTTTTTTTTTTTCTGGAATTTTAGAGTAACCAGTAACCAAAAAAATGTATTTGTGTTACAAAAAAGTTTACATAAAGTTAAATATTTGAAAATGCCAAAGTCATTTTCAAGTATATTTTTAAAAATCCCTAGTTAACCTGTAGAATTCTCTCTAAATTATTTTCCACAGCCTTATAATTCTGAGGTATCCTCTAAATATTTGAAAAAAAAAACTTAAGGGTTTTCTTTTTCCAAGTAGAGATAACAAGTATATGTATAGAACTTTGATATGGCTAGCAACATTTTTTATATTGTTTCCATTAGAAGGAAACCTGGTTTTCTACTAATTTGGTTTTTTACAGAAAAAAAAAATTGTTTTGTAAATCAATGTCATAAATGCTTTTTGATTTTTTTCCCATAGATCAAGATGGAATTTTAAAAGCATATTGATTATGCTATTTCAAGGTATACATAATAATTGAAAGCCTTTTTACCAAATTCTATTCAGAAAGTAGATGAAATGTTCATGGTGTAAGATAAACAAAAACAGCCTGGAGTTCAGTTGTGCATGGATACTCAGCAATTTAAAAATACTAATTCTGTTCCATTTAATGGTAATAAAACACTTCTTTTTCTTTTTTCTTTCTTTTTTTTTTTTTTTTTTGCCTAAAGGTCATCTATAATTGAGGACAAGTTAGCAAGAGTCCAGAGGCTGAGTGTGACTTTGATCTTGGTGTCCAGCCTTTCTGGGTGCAAATCGTTCTGAGGAGAAAGGTAGGAGTCACCTCAAGGCCTTGGTAGCCTTACTAAAGGTTAGAGAGCTCCCTTTACCACCTCTCCCTCCTCCCTGCCCCCATTCTTAGTGAGTACCTCTGCGTATCTGCAGCATTTGAATCTGTCTAGCAGAAATTGTATTCAGGTATAATAGTAAGCTTGAAATCTGTTCTTCTTCAAGTGCACTTGGTAATCCTGATTTTACTCAGAGATTCAGGGCATGTGTGTGCCTTGCTGACTATCTTTATTAAATCATTAAAAAATATATAACATTTATTTTGAATAAGCAGACTATTCTTATGTTCAAAAAAGGATTAGAACATAATTTCTCACACAAATCACTTCACATGCTTTGATTTAAATAGCAGGGCATCAGCATTGTTACTGTTATGGTTGTCATTTTTAAATAACAAGAATACTACTGCTCCAAATTAGAAAAAGTCCTGGAAATGTTAAACAAACACATATACAATTTAGGTACATTGATAGCATTGTTTTAGAAATATTTTTATTGTTTTTCACATATAAAAATTAGTAAGACAAAAATATCAAGATCATTCTAAACAGCCTCTTACAAATTATTTACACTGCTTTGTACAATGTGAAAACTTGGCAGTAATTTTATCAAATATCTTATAAATCATTGTCAGAGTAGTGTTAAGCAGTCATTTTGAATCACTCTGTAACCAATTATGTTTATAATCAAATATTTCATCAATTATAAAATGCATTAATCTTTTATTTCATTTGGATAAAAGTACGTCAGCTATTTGCAAAACTAGCGCCTCTTGTAAGTCCTTTTGCATGGCTAATTTGTGTTCATGTAATTTTGCACTTTTTTCTATCAAACAAAGGTATTTTTCATTGAAACAATGAGGTAGTTTTAGCTTCAGTTTTCATACTACTTAATCAAATAAATACATTTACAAAGATATGTTAAATGTTCTCTATACTTAAAGATGGTAGTGATAGCTATACATTATTTACCAGAAATAGCTTAAAGTTGTAAGATGAGCCATCTTGGAGGATAAATCCTTGTAGCAAATTTTTATAGATGCTTCTATTACTTTAGTGATTCAGTTTTCTTTAACTTTAGTCTAGATACACAAAAGACTGAAATTAAAACAATGACTTTTGTGTGTGTATGAGTAGTGAAAAATGAATGTGTACTATTGTAAATTAAAATGAAAATGTATTTTCCTATGATGCACTCTTCTTGTGAAATAGCTTCATTTCATTAACTTAGTAATTCTGTAGTGTGTTTTGATAACAATAACCTCTAATTGCCCATAAGTCTATATTATATATGTGGTTAAGATTTGAATGTCTGTAGAATGGGCTTCATGTATATATTTAAAATTCCTTCAGTATTTATTCACATTTTCTATATTTTTATACTTTGTTATATACTATGAATACATTTGTGGTAGTATCATGAAACATCAAGTTTATTACTTTCAATCAGTTACATAGAAGCAGATCACAAGTACATAGGGAATAATATTTACAAATGACTATACATTATCATATTAACATATATATAATTTTGTTCTTAACATTTTGAATAACAAATTCTTCTATTAAAAATCTATCAGCATAAGCACAGCCATTTACTTTTCTAATCATGGAAGGACTGTTTTCTATAGTATTCTATCTTAAAATTGAACACAATACTGCTATTGAATTATATTAAATCTAGTAATTGAAACTAAGTCCTCATTTTGAAAAATTCCCTGCATTTTATATTCTGTAATACAATATGATTTCATTTTCATAGCACAATTATTAATCACCTTTTCCCATATATCCTGATCATGTATTAATCATATACTCTTAACTCTTGCTTTCCTGAAAATATTCTATCCTAAAGCTAACAAACAGAAAAAAATCTATTGCATGTGACATATTATCCCCAAGAAAAATAACTCTTGGTTTTGTCTGGTTATCATTTATAAAACCAGAGATAGTTGTGTTTCCAAACATGTAATCAATAAGTGCCCATTTTTCTATCCTAGTTAGTAATAGAAGCGATCTCATTTAGGAGAAGGGGCAGTTCGGTGTGTTTCCTCATACGAAAAGAAGCTTGTCACAGTCTTCTCTAAGATTGCAAGATTTCAGCTCCCCTTTATGCAGACATTTGCACCTAGTATTTTCCAATTCTGTAATGCAAACATTCACGGAGAGGTTAAATACAATGTTGGCTCTGTAGTGTGCGTGCAGGAGCACTGCTCGTGTTTTGCCCAGTCATGCCTGAATTTAACCCTGGGTCAACAGACATGCTGAAATGTGGACTTGAACATAAATGGTGCTTACCAAAAGAAAGTAAATGAGTGCAAAGTTTTTTTTTATGAAATGTCACAATTGATGTAAGAGCCAGGTCTCAAAGAAGGGAAAAGCAAAAGTGGGATGAATGTTCTAAAAGCCCTTGGTTGAACACATATTTCATCGTTTAATTTGGTGGCTGCATCATATCACAAGTAGCCAAATTGTAGTTGCAACTATCCACTAACATTTTCTTTTCTACATTCCTGATATGTTCTCTCACTTTCCAACTTTTCTATTTCCAGGCAGTCGTACCATATGAAACTGACAGCAATTGTTCTGATTCATGGTTTAGGAGGAGTAGCTGATTAATCCCATGTCAGCAGTCTTGACCCTACGTGGAAAACAGAACCTTAGAAGGCCCACTCGACAATATATCAGGGCTCAGAGTTGTGTGGCTTGCGTGGCTCTCAAATGTAATGAAAGTTTAGGGCAGTTCTGAACAGCGATTTGATCCCCCTCCCCCTTTAACCTATGTCTCCAAAGAAATTCTGGGAGAGGAGATGGGAAAAATTAAGATTATTATCTGGAACAAAATCTTAGGTTTACAAACATTTTGTGTCCTCTGTGAAAAGTTATATAAAACCTCTCTTTTTTTCCCCCTTAAGCATAACTACTGATTTCATTTTAAATACTGGTTTTATGTGTTTATTTAAAACCTTCAAATTTTCGACCTTGGCCTTTTTTTTAAAAAAACGTTGTTAATAATTGTAGAATGCTCTCCTAGCTTGAACATAGAACTCTAATTTGTACTTACAAAATAATTGCAAATAATTCCAAATTCCAGAATCATGTTTATAGGATGCATTCAATTTTAAAGAGGACTGTGCTATATTTAAAAACACAAAGACAGGCTTGCAGACAACCATTTTAGCCTTTGAAATGGCATTTTTTTACAAAAGCCCTAAACTGTGCATCTATTTCTACTATGAAATAAGAGAAAACCTTAGTACTCTGAATTATGTTTTCAGAACTTATGATTAAAATGAAGGGGTAAAATGAAATTGCATCTTTTCCAAAGAATACGATGTGTATGAAGGCAACTAATGTGTGAATTTTATTTACAACTATAAAGCAGATAGAAATGCCAAAACAGCTTGGAAATTTGTCAAATATTACTAAATCTTCAAGCATAGGATGCTCGAAATGGTGGTCACAGAGGACAAGTTGAATCTCAGTATTAGAAGCTATGCACAACTAGTAAGGGGGAAAAAATAAAAAAGAAAAGAAGGGAAAAAAAAACCCACCAAACAACTATCCAGTATAACTAAATAAAGCTGAAATGTGCTGAAATCTTCCCCTGCAAACTGCATAATAGCACTTCCAATGTTCTCTTTCTGTCACCCCCTGTAACCATCAAGCCGGGATTTCTGCTGCAGTCAGGTGAACAGTCTCAGAGCTCTTACGGTTGGCTGCATAGAATTCCGAGGAAAGACACATCTGTACAGTATTTCCTTGGACAATATTAAATAATAATTTCTGATACACTTAGATTTTTTTTCTAAATATATTTGAAACGAATTGTGCAGGAGTTTCTTACGTACCTTCTTAAAGCAAAGGTTTTATTTAGACTGAATCCTTCACTGTGAAAGTGCAGCCCTTTGATCAAGTAACATTTGCATTTCTGCGTGGGGTATTTCTGTCTTGTGTTCTTCTCATACATCCTGTCTATAGTTACGTGGAACATGTGGGTTTGTGCTAGTCACCATTTAAAACACTAGGTACCAAGTGCTGCTTTGTGAACAGAATCCATATGTATTAAGCAGAAGACAACAGAAGAGTGCGCTTGAAAATTCAAAATTAATAGGTTGTTTGAATGAAACATATTTTTAGCATGGCTATTTTAAATAGTGTATGCTCAGATGCAAAATGCAATATTTTGGTTTTTTTAAAATGCAGCACCTTCAGATGGTCTTATGACTTATTTATTTATTTATTTATTTTGAAAAAAGAAAATGGAATGCTGCTTGAGGCTTTTCTTCAGAGACCAGAACCTTGCATATTCTGTTAGGGTAGCGTTCAAAAGGACAGTAAAGTGCAGGTTATATTATGATGCTCAAAGAGTTCTTAAATCCAATACTGTAGTTTTATAAAAATATGTCTCTTGAAGAATCAGTAAGCATGCAGCAATGTCTATAAAAACACTCCTGTTTCGAAAGGGGTGTGTGTATGTGTGTGTGTGTGTGTGTGTGTGT